GGTGCCCGAAAATCACACATCACCCATCAAATAGAAGCAAAAAAAAGTTCGCATCAACTATATAGATCAAACTCAGAAACATAGATTCAGCACCACCCATCCGCACCTCCGCGCTTCGATCTTAAGACTCAGACATGTGTCCCTCCCTTCGCACCTGCAGCCATGGAGACGGGATTCCATAATATGTGTACTCTTGCGGTATGTCTTGACTCCTCGCTAGCCTTTCCAATATACGTACACATTTGGGAACGCAATTCCAATATCCATCTGGTGAGGCCGCAACGAGTGCAATCAGCAGACTCATCACGGCTGTCAACACACCAAGGTCTCGCTCATCAAGAAGCTGAGACATCCGGTCCGACCTACACGTATCACAAGCACAACACAACACCGTACACGAGCTCAGCACTCATACACCTTTCGCCAAAACCGAGTCTGTCCACTTGCCCATTAAACCAGAAGTACCTTTCCCAGCCATTTTCTTCCAACGCAGCTGCTGCAAATGTGCCCAACCTTGCGAGGCTCCGCCTACCCGAGTGAAATGGGAGGTGACGCCGAACTTGGTCGATTTTACATCTCAACAATACCCAGCAAAACTAGGCGCGCGACAGGAATCGGTGCCAGGAAAAGAGACATGGAAATGGCGGTCTAACACACCCCCTTCACATTCCTTTTCAGAGCAGCTGTGCCTTTCCCGCTTGCTACCTCGACAAAACCGAGGCAGGATCTCTCATAATGTAGCACATCCAACTAGGCACTCTTGTGCACACTAGGGATAGATCAGATGTGAACTCTCCGCCGCCACTTCGGTCCGAGCAGCACCACAGCATTAGATCAAAAAACATGTGGGCAAATTGTAGTCTCTGCTGCCACTGCTCCATCTCTTTCTCCTCCCACTTCGTCATTTTCCGCTGCTTTTCCTTCTCCTCCTCCTCTTGGCACCTTTCTTATCACATGATGCTGCATCACCTTCCTTCATCCTTACCCTTCGTCTACTTCTCCCTCCCCTCATTCTTTGTGGCATCCCTTCTCCCCACCTTGAACAATATTCCACACCTTTCTTCTACTCCCATTTTTTCTTCATATTCTACTTCTTGACGTCCTTCTCCCTGCCTTAAACAGTGTGCCCTCCTCCTCCTTTGTTGTGGCACCCCTTCTCCCCACCTTGCCCGGTATGCCACAACACCTTCCTTCTACTCCCACTTCTTCTTCTTCTTCTTCTTTTTTATGACCCCCCTCCTCCCCGCCTTACAGAGTACGTCCAACAGGCCAGCGGACTGCCACTGAGAAGTCCCCCGTACTATACGTGACTCTGATGATCATACCAGCATGCATTCCTGCATTGCAGGTCCATCTAACAGCCAAGCCACAAGTGCCAGGGGGTGATTTAACAACGGATAGGGACACAAGCGTTCAGGGTTCCATTTTCTAGGTCTTTCCACAAACTAAGCCAGAAGTGTTGCAGGGTGAGTTTGCAATGGATAGGGACATAAGAGCACAGGTTTTCATTTTCTACGCCTTTCCACAAATTTAGTATTCCACTTTCACTCTGGTATTCCACTTTCACTTGGTGTTCTTGAGAAAGTTGAAAAAGACTAACGGGCCCAGCACAGTTGGTACACCCATGAACTTTTGAAACACAGACCCAAGTTCAAATCCGGATCCTATCAGATGAACAGAACAATATAATTCTGAATTGCCTACCGTCTTCCCCCGAACACAACGCACCCTCATTTTGAGTGCATCCGACCGGAAACGTAGCCTCTATACATTCATAATGGTGTGTTGTGTTCAGGGGAAGACGGTAGGGGCAGTCAGTTCAACGATGAGATCTCCAGGTCGTCGCCCTTTCCAAAAACAAAACAAACAAAAAAGATAGGACCAGGCCTCAAGCAGGCCTCTCAGCCTCGATCTGAGGACGCCTCGATCAACGCACATAGCCATGACTGTAGCAAAAGCCCATGATATTGGCAGTTTCACGTAAGAAAAGAGCACCGAAGGGGTACCAGCCTCTGTGACTGTGGTAATCCTGCAATAAATCGCAGTTTCCCAGTGGGGCTGTACACTAAGTGTTTGGCTTTGTAGTTCGTTTTCTTGTTTTGAGCCTTGCGGGACTTAATGACACTTTATAAGCAAAGCATGAGTTCGAGTCCTGACAGATTTAAAACGCACGAAACGAAAGCAATCACTGAGAAATGACCGTAGCAAGAAACTGAACTGGGTACAAATTAGGCGAGTAAGCTCACCATCCTTCGACATTGACAACATCCGGGTTCTTTCTAAACAAACGGAGAAGGCAAAGAGCCGCCTTCTTCCGGACCAGAGACCTGCAGGCACTGGAAATCTGAACCACACACAATCGACAACCACCAGGAGGACAAACGCCGCAAGAGCATCTTGTCAGTTCCTTGAGACGGAAAGTGAACATGAGTACACGTCCTTCACACATCTAACACAAACAGCGAACGGAGCAGCTGGAACGAAAAACAGCACAACCTGAACAAATACCTTCCTCAACCGCAGGCAAACTTTTCCATAATCCAGGGCCTCACTCCGCCACTCCGCAAATGTGCAAAATGAGGATGAATATTCCACCAGAATATGGAAAGATACCCCGACATAAATTTCTGTCTTTTTTGCACGTGGTGCATGATGGAGCAAGGCCCGAAAGTTACCAAGCTTGGATTAATCCATTCGACATGTCGGAAATATCCTTACTCTTTTTTCTTTTCTTTTTTTGACACCATGCATTTTTATCAATTTGACACACTGGATTCATCCATTTGACACTTAGGACTTACCCATTTAACACACAAAGGAAACCGGAACAAGCTGGCTGACCACTGGCCTGAGTCTCTTCACAAACCTTGTATTTTACCCATTTGACACACAGAAGAAAGCCACCCACCACAACCTGACCGCTTATCAATTTGACACACTGGATTCATCCATTTGACACGTAGGACTTGCCCATTTGACACACACAGGAAACCGGCACAAGCTGGCTGACCACTGGCCTGGATCTCTTCCTAAACCTTGTATTTTAACCATTTGACACACAGGAGAAAGGCACCCACCACAACCTGACCGCTGACCTAGATCTTCGCGAACCATGTATTTTTGAACGGATTATTCTCCTCCACACTCGCAAAGCGGACTTGCTGTCCATATCACTAAAGTCGTGTCCGCTAACAAGCCACGATATTAAGAAACGTACGGGCCACTGAAGGAGCGACCAAATTCATCCGACTACGGCCGATGTCTTTTTTTTTTCCCCACGGCCGATGTCCGGGCCATGTACGGGTGGTTTAACAATATCCAGTTGAAGCAAAGAGAAATCGCCGGACAACCCAGATGGACACCCTGCCCAGATGACCTCGCCGCATAGGGTCCAACCTCCAAATGAATGTTTATATTTGTGTATTTCACAGTGCTGCAGTGGTTCTCAGTGCACCAGACAGCTGCTGCACTCGTAAGTAAGCCTATCGTCTTCTCCCGAATAGAATGCCCGGTCATTATAGCAGCTTATTCGGGAGCAATATCAGTCTAAATAGAGCAATAATGACCTGGCGTTCTTTTCGGGCAAAGAAGGTAGTCTTCAACGGTGGCTGTGGAAACCTATGGGCAAAGGCTAGTCGCCAACATGGAAAATATAAAACGCGTCTCTTCCTATTCAGATCTATGAAAGGCTACATCAAGAAAGAGACCTGAAAAGAGACATGAACAGCCTTTCTTCGTCATCCAAACCAAAACAAACACTATCTTCAAGACTTTATTCAAATCAACAGCCTTCCTTTGTCATCGCAACTTGCAAGCAATATCTGTTATTACACCTGATTCAAATCAACAGCCCCTTCTTCATGACAGAAGAGGAGGTAACATCCAACAGTAACACCCAACTCTAACAGGCGAAATTACTGCAGTTAAACCACCATCCCGCCACAAGCAAAAAAAAAAGAAAAAAAAAGAGTTTGTATGCAACGCAACTTTAGGATGAGCCGTGCTACCAGACCAAATGGTGCAAGAAGGGGGGGAAGGGGGGGGGGGGGGGGGCGCCCAGGAGAATCGTGACTGTATCAGCTCTTTTTTTTTTTGGTGTGCAATACGATTTCCGATCGGTTGAAAAAAAGAAAAAAAACAAGTCTTCCTTTATCATCACGACCGGCAAACAGTATCTGTTGGACGAATTGAAATCAAAGGTCAGTCTTTATGACAGAAGAAAAGGGATATGATCCAAAGAAGAAGAGGACGTTAATGCGGTTAAGAGGGGCATGAGGAAAGCACATCCGCAACCAGCTTACCAGCAGTTTTTGAACATCACCGGCCAACGACTCGGAGAACTCCTTCCCCCCAACATTCGCTACCTGCAGAGGAAAATCCCACCAAAGAAGGATGACCACGACACCCGATTTAGTCTACATGGACCCAAACAAAAGTTTTGCGTTGCCACCTTCATGACCACAAGGTCCCAAACGAAAGGTTACATTTTAACTTCCCCGGACCCGAGCTCAGTTGGTACACCCATGAGCTGTTGAAATACAGACCTGTGTTCGAATCTGGATGAAACTAGATCAATGAACATTCCGAATTACAGGGGGCTGGCTGGTCAGTTTGCCAAAACGACATCTCAAGGCCATCGCCCTTTTTGAAAAAAGCTGGAAGAAAGAAGAAAGAAAAAGAGGTAAGCGGGGGGGAAAATGCCATAAAGCCCAAAAAACAAAACAAAAAAAAAGAACCATCTTCCCGCTGTTCCTAGCACAAACACCTCCGGGCCGTATACATGCAGTGGCCCTAAATTATCACAGGCATAGAACACAAAAAAGGATCTCCGTGCCATAATATGCGTCGGTCGTGGGGTCTTCCCCCGAGCACAACACAGCCTCATTTTGACTGCACCAGACTGAAAACATGTGCATGATCAGAATGAACACAGCCTCATTTCGAGGCATCGGACTGAAAACATAGCTTGTGTACATCTGCATGATCAGAATGTGTTGCATTCCCAGGAAGACGGTAGAGCCCTAAAAGATCCGGGCCATACATCTGTGGCTGTTCCAGCTGTTCCTCGCCTTTGAAGGATCTTTTTCCGGCTGAAGAAGTATAAAATGCCACCATGCAATGGTATTCACTGCACCCCCCACCCCCCACCACACACAGGACACAAACAGTCTGGCACAGTCGTGCATTTCTTGTCGTGTATAGTAGACAACATAACACACGCACCAAAAAAGACAAAACGGAGAGAGAGAGAGAGAGAGAGAGAGAGAGACATAACAATAAAAAAAAAAAAAAAAAAAAAAAAAAAAAAAAAAAAAAAACAAAAAAAAAAAAAAAAAAAAAAAAAAAAAAAAAAAAAACAGAAATACAAATTCTCCTCCTGTTGCATGCAGCGCTATTGAGAACATGACAACACATCAACCAAATAAAACAAAAGAGAGAGAGAGAGATTAAAAGAGAAAAACAAAATAGACACAAATACGAATCCCCCCTGTGCTGCAAGCAGTGCTATTTCACCACCCCACACGCGTTAAAAAAAAAAAAAGAGAGAGAAAAACAGAAAGAACACGAAACAAAATTCCCCAACCTACCGCCCCACACACGTGCACAGATCATGGCGCACACGCTTTTACCAATTTTTGGCACTCAAAATCACCATCCCAATCCCAGTGAATTTTTTTTTTTCTCTTCTGCGGATGAGCCCCATCTTTGCATTCAGCAGAAACGAGCTCCTCTCGACTCCTTGCTCGATCAGCATTCCGAACACCATTTTTAAAATCTTTCTTCTTGATCCCCAGGGGCACAAAAAGAATAGTGACGGACAGGACTTGGCCATTCATCATCAAATTCTATTCTGTTACCATTCAGCAATCCGTGAACATACAGAGAGAAACATAAAGCATCGCTCCAGTACTCACCACACGCACAAAAGACAAAAAATATGGCAGTGTATCTTCCTTCCCATGTCCCAGCGAAAGATTCATTCCATTTTTGCACATTTCGTGAGTGAGGCCCATATACATACCATCGTCAACGCAAGACACTGGAATGTCTCGTTGCGCGAGACGATGTCATTGCGAATCGTGTTGATGACCATCCGCAGAAACTCGTTGTTCTCATTCAACAAACACGCCGTCACCACATAGCCAACCTGAAGAATCAAGCACAACCCACAGGCCAAGTAAAAATCATCAGGAAACTGGCAGGAAGCAAAATATACTGCGACATGCAACACTTAGTTCGAAGTCAGGTCTGGAGCGAGGAAGTGGTTGAGGATCATACTGGCCATCATTCGTATGTGCACTATTTTGCTGGCTGTCTTCTGTGCTCACATTTGTCGACTGCGTTCTGTGTCCACATAGCTCGGCAATGAGTTTGTGTGCACTCTCCGTAGCCAAACCTCACCACCAGCAATACCTAATCAGTAGTCACCTCTATTTCCTTGTTCATACACTACCACGAGTCATCTTCCCAGCCACATGGACCTCCGACAGTTTTTTTCATAATGAATGGACTCCGTTGGGCACAGGCAGGCCCCGACATCCACAAAACAACCGGCAGATTAAACCAGCAGCGATACCGGCAGCGATACCTAAAACCAGTAATGACCCCTCTATTTCCTTGTTCATATGCCAAGGTTATACCACAACTCAGCTTCCCAGGTATGTGGACCTCCAGCAGTTTTTTCATCATGGATGAACTTAGTTGGGCCGCAGGTACGCCCCTGCATCGACAAAACAACCAGCAGGTTAACCAGCAGCAATACCTACCTCTATTTATATGCTACAAGGTTAAGCCACAAGTCAGCTTCCCAGCATCTCACGTTCACGACTGTTCCGTTCAGCTGTGTATCAGAGACATGGTCGGGGTTCAACCAAGGGCTGGCTATTCCCGGCGATCCCCTTTCTCGACGAGCTCGAGTCTTCGGAGCAAGTTAGTTCTTCACTACGAGTATCTTCAATGCCGTTGGCATTGAATAAGTCGTGTCCGTCTCGTTGCGGACATCTTCAACGTCTCATTTATTTGACATATTGGGTTGTACAAATGAGCATTCCATACGGTGCCTCAAACGGTCACCCCAAACTTAAGGTCGTCCCCTACATCGTGAACGGAACTTAATTGGGGTGCAGGCCGGCCCCTACATCCACTGAACAACCCGCAGGTTAACCAGTGCAACTTGCTCACCAGACTCGGTGCCTCAAACGGTCACCCCAAACTTAGGGCCGTCCCCTACATCGTGAACGGAACTTAATTGGGGTGCAGGCCGACCCCTACATCCACTGAACAACCCGCAGGTTAACCAGTGCACCTTGCTCGCTGGACTCTAACATGCCCACACGTTTTATTCGCATTTGGTGGAACCAGTGAGCCATTCAGGAAGAGGGAAGTGGTGCTCAGTACATATCACCAACCTAGATGGGAACAGGAGGAAGGGGGAGGGAAGAACGGAGGAGAGGAATTGGGAAGAACAAGAAAAGAAAAGAAAAAAAAAAACAGAACCTGCACTGTGGAACAGGAAAGCCTCAAATATCCATAACAATCTCTTCCCTTGGTTCTTATTGACATCGGCATAAACGTAGATTGAAGGGGGGTCCCGCACAGGACATGCCACATGTCCGTCTACCTGTGAAGAGCACGTATTTGGTGCAGTTTTCAAGTCACGTACAGATAACATGACCATCCGTGGACGCAAACGGAAGGTAATAGTTGCACTCCAAACTATCAGCACTTTGCCATCATCAGCCTCGTAGTTGAGAATACTCACCGGAACTTTCCTGGATTTATCCGGCCAAAAGCGCAGTCACATGCCATCCAACAAGTCCCAATGTGAGTATGCCCTCTCGCGTAACTAAGGATCACTACAGTTCGCTCAAGGCGACAAGCATTGAAAAATCACAAAGCGTCTTTCTTTTTCGATGGAAGCAGAGATTGGAAAAGGCGGCACAGCGTTGCAGGCCCACATAGTAGGGTAGAACAGCGAAATCATAATTAACAGGTCGGGGGTTCAAATCCCCAAACTGTCGTCCACAGCCCACAGCAGATCGCACTCAGGTTACGGTCAAGAAACACTTTTTTTATTGAAACCATATTGTGCTGCCATTTTTTATTGGAACCACAAGAAAGCCGTCCACAGCCGATGGCACTCAGGCTAGAACAGCGAAATCATAATTAACAGCTCGGGGGTTCAAATCCCTCTTCGACCAGTTGTCAAAAGTCGATAGGAAAAAAAAAAAAAAACAATTGGTTTGCAGTCTTCCAGCAAGCCTGGAGATGAACATTACCTGTTTCTCAGCATACTTCTGTGCAGAAATTAGAGCAATCGCCTCCACATGCCCAAAGTCGACATCGTACCCCAGCATATATACATAGAGCATCTTCCACACATATTTCTTCTTTTCGTAAGCCGTCATTCCCTGGACAACAGACAACACATCCAGTCGAACACACACGTGTTATCATCAGTCATAGCAAAGACACACCCTACTACTGAATAAATGCCAAACCCGTGCGTCACACCCACACCACCCCACATCACGATTCTTTGTCCTTAGGGTGTATCCAGAAATTACCCATTGCTGACAATAAGGTTAAACCACCAGTACCTCTGCCAGTGTTGGGAAATTACAATGTACTGGTCTGTCCCCAAAGAAATCCGTGGTGGGACCCAGGGTCGGCGAGTCGCATAAATCCTAGTTTTCTTTTGCCCGCGCGTGAAAGAAAAATGAAAAAAAAAAGGGGGAAAAAAAGGTCACCACATATCGTTTCCTTCTTGTCCCCTGCTACTCTGCTTTCTGATTTCACCAGTGTAACCTCTCCCGTCCGCGACCACAGCACTCACCCACCACACTCCGTCCTTGTACCTTCTTCATCAACGAAGCTCTATCTTGGGTCCTTGAACCCAAGACCTGACGAGAAATCTGTTCCTACGGGTTATCGGTTCAAGTCCGATAGTCGGCCAGATACATCGCATGGTGAAAATGTTAAACACGACAGACTAAAACACTTAGTCGGTTCGATCTAGTCGGGACCACGGAGGATATAACTTAAGAGGTCAAAGTGTCAGATTGTGAATTTGAAAATGCGGGTTCAACTTCCGTTATTCGCCTCTTGCACATCCATCAGACATGTGGCACCCAACAAATCTATCTACGTGTGTATCTACGTGTGTATCTACGTGTGTATCTACGTATATATCTACGTGTGTTCTAGTCTTTCGATAAAAAGGACAAGTAAAATGATATGTTTCCATAATAAGTAGGACATAAAACATCCATCAGAGATGTGACACCCAACAAAGCTATCTACGTGTATCTACGTGTGTTCTAGTCTTTGAATGACACAAGTAAAATGATATGTTTCCATAATAAATAGGACGTAAAACAAGGAAAGAAGAGAAACTCGGTTCGTGCACACGTCAGCATGTTCACATCAGAGAGAAAGAGAGAGAGAGAGAGAGAGAGAGACTCCAAGTAGGTTACTCTGCTGAGACAGAGAGAGGAGAGAGAGGAGAGAGAGGAGAGAAAAGGGAATGGATATGGCAATTGGTAACGGGCACTTTTTTTTTCTTTTTTTTTTTTTTTTAACAACCAAATTCGTGAATAAACTCCAAGGACCTCACTCTGCTGCAGAAACTAATGCTACTCCTGAGGCCGCTTTATCTTCAAAATAGTCCAAAAAGCTGTGTCTATTTCAGGAACTTGGCTTGTACAACCACCACTACCGTATTCCCCCGAACATAACGCACCCTGAAAATGAACGTATGCAAGGCATGTTTCCGGCCTCATACAGTCAAAACGAGGGTCCGTTGTGTTCGGGGGAAGACGGTAGTTTCCACAGACCGGTGTTAACCTGACTGCAGGTCAGTGGGGTTGCAGGTCAGTAGGGTTAACCCCATAGGTGAGAGAGAGCCTGTTACGCAGGCCCCTGTCACCCTGACCGACTGCAGACTGGTGTTACCCTGGCCACAGGCCGGCGTTAACCCCATGGCAGAAGCAACAACACTTGACTTGTACAACCACCACTAGGTGGGAGCCTGCCGTAGCCTGCTGTGCGGGAGTTCACATGATGGCCCCCACATGCTGGCCCCTGCGCCAGCACAGAAAGGCAGATGGCTGCTGATAGGTCCCGCCCCTGAGACAGTTCGTATGTCCGGGGCCTGGCAAACCGATTATCACATAAAAAAGATGGTTTTCGCTTTTGGGTGGTTGCGTGAAGAGGTCATTTTTCCCCATACCCACTTGTAAGCGTCTCATGTTTTAGTTTCCTCGTTTCAAAGTGGACCATTACCACCAAAGAAGAACTCATACTTGTACGTGCTCCACCTCCTCCCTCCCAAAAGAGATTCTCGACACCATTCTTGTACAATGAAGTTGTTTTCACTTCATTGGCAATGCGATTGTTTTCACTTCCATTGTCAATGCATTTGTTTTCACTTCCATTGTCAATGCACATGTTTTCACTTTCTCGATGCAATTGTTTTCACTATCATTCTTGATATGCGATTGTTTTTACTATCATTCTTGATATGCGATTGTTTTCACTATCATTTTGATGAGATTTTTTCACTATCATTCTTGATGCGATTGTTTTCGCTATCATTCTTGATGCGACTGTTGTCACTTCATTATCCATGCACTTGTTTACACTTCCATTGTCAATGCACTTGTTTTCACTTTCTCGATGCCATTGTTTTTACTATCATTCTTGATATGCGATTGTTTTCACTATCATTTTGATGAGATTTTTTTTCACTATCATTCTTGATGCGATTGTTTTCGCTATCATTCTTGATGCGATTGTTGTCACTTCATTATCCGTGCAATTGTTTTCACTTTCATTCTCAACATGATTGTTTTCACTTTCATTCTCAACATGATTGTTTTCACTTTCAATTCTCAACATGATTGTTTTCACTTTCATTCTCAACATGATTGTTTTCACTTTCGTTCTCAACATGATTGTTTTCACTTTCATTCTCAACATGATTGTTTTCAGTTTCATTCTAAGCATGATTGTTTTCACTTTCATTCTCAACATGATTGTTTTCACTTTCATTCTCAACATGATTGTTTTCACTTCATTCTCAACATGATTGTTTTCACTTTCATTCTCAACATGATTGTTTTCACTTTCATTCTCAGCATGATTGTTTTCACTTTCATTCTCTCAACATGATTGTTTGCACTTTCAAGTGGTGTGAACAAGGCCCTTTCTACAGTTCATCCACTGCACCCTCCTTCCACCAGAAGTAGGCATCCCTCTCTTTTTTTTGGCTTTAAATCACCACTGATCCCGATTCATCCCAAATTTCACCAAGTATACATCCCTCTCTTTTTTTTGGCTTTAAATCACCACTGATCCCGATTCATCCCAAATTTCACCCATCACTATGACATCTGCCATCATGTCACCCATCATTGTCACTCATCTGTGCACCAACCACTCGTCTGTGCGTCACTCACTCTGTTTCAGTCATGTTTCACTCACTTACGTGTCACTCGTATGCCAGATTTGCTTGTCATGTCACTCTGTCTGTTATGTCACTCTCGTTTGCGTGTTCCTCATTTAATGTCGACTGGTTGCGTGTCACTCATCTATGTGCACGTGTCGTGTCACTCATCTATGCGGGTCACGATTCGCGTGTCACTCATCTACGCACAGGTGTCGCTCATCTATGTCATGTTACAAGACTACCATACCTAAGCACGTAAGAGGCGAGGAAAAGGCCTAAATTATATCGTGTCTTTCACGACCTCACTCATGTGTCACGTTGTGACACACCCAATACTGTCATCACACTTGTTTGTCACTCATTCGTGTGTCCCCCTCGCAAGTCTCTCTCTCGCGTGTCACTCACGGGAATGTGTCACTCACGCGCACGTCACTCATTTCGGTTGCGGGCAGGTCACTCGCGCACGTGTCACTTGCGTTCGTCCGTTGTTCACCTGTGCCCCCCGTTTGCATATCACTCGTTCACCTGTCAATCATTTATGCCATCTCACACATACTATACCCAAGCACATGAGCAAAACAAAATGAAGAACAACACGCAAGACATTAATTTTTAAAAAAAAAACGACAGAAACATACTCGTGAGATCCGTACGAACAGAGGAAGCATGCCACACTTGCCCCGGGCAAAAGTAGCATACGTCCATTTGTTGATAATGCCACAAAATATAGAGCATGATCAACGAATGGAGTATATACTACATAACGATATACGCTGCTCTTCCCCCTCCCCTCCCCTCCCCCCCCCCCCCCCCCCCCCCCCCCCCCCCCTTCCCCGCCAACCCACCCAAACAAGCAAAAACTCGCACATTTGGGGGTAAGACATGGGCAAAGACTCTGCGCGCGTGTGTGCTTTGTATTCGCTAAACGCAACCCCGCAAAGAGAGCGTGACTGTGGTCCTCGCCGCACCACTCACCAAATGCATAAAAGACAAAATTTGCTGCATTTTTCCGTGTTTTAGTCGAAAATTCATTCTCATCTTTTGCACATTTGACTAGTGGTGCGGCGAGGAGGACCTGTGCCAATGTGTTTCGTCGGCCTTTCACCGTTCACCAACTCATCGAAAGGTTTTCTGTGTCTGTGTCTGCGAATAGCGTTGCCATGTTCGCTATATACCCCACTCCAGAAAAAAAAAGGGCATAACTATGCCACCCTGTTTCGTAGGAC